TTGATTTTTTGGAGTGGTGAGAGATGTTGGGGCTTTGCATAATACATAGCTTTTTCCGAATTAATTTAAATAAATTTATTTATGTTAAATTTAACAAATTTTTAAAAATTATTTTTATAACTTTTTAACAAATATAAACTTGAGACAGTTAAAAAAAAAAACCAAAATTTTTATCACTCAAATTAACCTTCATTGATTGAAAAATTGATATTTCTGTCCAAATATGTTACAGCTTCATGATAATAGAAAATAGTATATAATTCCACAAAAAAAGTACACTTAATTTACTTGAAAAACGATAAAATCAAGTCAATGAACTTTTTTATTTAAAAAAATAAAAACGTCGTTATTAGCAGCCAAATTATGATTAAAGTAAGAAGTCGGTAGGTTGAAAGCAGAAGCGTCAACATGCAGAGCGTAACAGCTTCCTTCAACGAGACCAACAGTTGTTCAAATATGGCAAGAAACCCAAAATTTCATGATTTGCTTACAAAACGGTTACACAAGCACTCGCTTATATTCCATACTTTGAATTTTCCGCACAAAATTTTCTATGGTTGATTGCTTGCATCTCTTGTTTTCTTTATGCGTGATTTTGATTTCACAATATAAAATAATCTTCATTCCTATATCACACTTCTTAAAATTCGAATTTTAAACTTTCAAAATGGATAAAAATTTGTTAGAAAAATTAGTAAAATTTAGAAAATTGAAAGAGAGAATAAATATTCAAGATGGTTTTTTTTTTCCCCTAAAAACTTGCATGCCCCAAGATATAACAAAACTTCAAAATTTTTCAAATACAATTTTTGCAAATAATTTTGTAAAAAAGTATTATATATATATATTTTTATATACATGTATTACTTTTTAAATAAGAAAGAAGATACTTTCTCTTTATTTTTTAATTCAAGTAGTAAATAGCCATGACCCTATTCAAGCAAGGTAGAACCTATGGTCTTCACAGTTTTCGTGAATTAGATCCCTCTACAAGTTCAATGGAGGTGGCTATCTCAAATCTTCAGAATCTATGGTAAGGTCGTCGATGTGTTTATACCACAGAAAAGGAGTATCAGAAGAAGGAACTACGGGTTTGTACGTTTCGACAAATATATGAAGAAAGGAATGCGGTTAGTAGATTAAACGGAACATGGATCAGGGGCCATAGGATCGGGGTGAATGTGGCACGCTTAAGTGCTAAATCTCCTTTTCGGAGACAAGTACCAACGAACAATGCACAGAGAAGCGAAAAGAGGCCTCGAGAAGAAATAGCTCACGAACAACAGAGAGGTGAGTCGTCTGGAACTCCACCAGATGAAAAGGAGGCAGAAGGTAGACAGAGAACTTACATGCAGGCCCTGTTGGAAACTGACAACTCGATAACCAGAGATGCATCTACTGGGAAAAAAGAAAGCTTAAAACTGAAAGTATTTCAGGGGATGGTGAACGAAGAGTCGTTGCGCAACCTTGAGAAGAGTGTAATAGGCATCTGCAGAGGCTATTACGAAGCGAAAACGTTAAATGAGAATGTTAAAATACACTGAGTTTTCGACATATCAGTCAAGAAGATTTCGTGAAGACAGTTCCTAATCTGTTTTCAAGACGATGAAACCATGGCTACTATGAAACAACTAGGGTGGTCTTGGCTAAAAGAGTGGCTCATTGAGGTGGCTCACTGGTCGGAAGATACGGATTACAGATACAGAACTACATGGCTGACAATTTATGGGGTTCCATTGCATGCATGGAATTATGACACTTTTAAAAACATATCCAGCTTATGAAGTAAGTTAATCTTCATGGATTGCAAGACATTAAACTATAACGATTTCAGCAGAGGTGCTGTTTTTATCATGACTAATCAACTGGAGAAAATCGACAAATTTCATTAGTCTCGAATGTGGTGGTAAAAGCTATAAGATAAGGGTAATTGAAATAGGATCAGACGTAATCTCACTGCTTCATTGCTGTTGCGGCTCCTACGAGCAGTTGCAGAATAGGTTTGAAGATGAACAGCAGGATCTGGGTGCTAATATCAATGAGTTGGAAGTTGTGAACGAGACCGAGGAACACTTGATGAATAAATAAAAAACAACACTTGATGAATAAATATACCTTTCCATAAATGAATATTGAACGCAAATTTTCACTTATGAACAGGCATAACATTTCAAGATTAATTTAATCTATATACAAAAATTATTGGTCACCGATACCATATAGTACTTGGTGCAACTAACAAAGTAGGTGAGTAATTCCTTGCACGTAAAGGTGTCAAATGGGTTGCACATTTTATGACGTGATACGATTTGTTACGACATAAATAGCAAGCACAATATATATATATATATATATATATATGTGCGTGTGTGTGAATGTGTTCCGTGCTAAATTGAAAGATTTTAAGTTTATCCATATAGCACAATTCGTTAAAAATTAGTGCCAGCACATGACACCTGGGCACATAAGTCCCGTTGTGCCATGTTGACTTATAATTGTTATTTGATTGTATTTATATTATTTTTATATTATAATAAAATTATATTTATTTTTTATATTTTATTGATAATTTATAAAATAAAATTACTTATTAAATATTTAAATTATTGATAAATAATTTATATTTAACTAATGATTAGCAAAGATAAAATGATAAAAATAAATTAAAACTTTAAGTTAAGTACAAATTCAATTAATAAAATAAATTACTATAAGATGGGTATAAAATAAATGCACAAAGACAACACATTATATAAATGAATCGTTAGATGATGAAAATAAAAAAAATAATCTTATGTTTTATAATATTTTTATATGTATATATATATTTTTTGAAATATTTTGATTGTAAAAATATATATTTTTATTTAACGAATTCTATTTCCATTTCCTGAATGTGGGCATTTTGTTGAACAACATAAATTATGTGTAATTTTTATTTATCTTTGGATGTTATTTTTAATAGTAGATGAATTTTTTTAAAAAGTAATTAAAATTTTGAAAAACTATTAATAAATTGTACTTGATCCATCTCAATACAAAAAATAGTACTGCGCTAACTATGAAGATTATGGATCATGTACCATGTTGGGTTTTATTCTTAATCTTCATGGACCATATTAATACATGTTAAAAAATAATATTAAGTCGACACAATCCATTAATATATAAATAAATTATGCTTATCTAACACGGTATATTTAACACCTCTATTTGTATAAAGGTTTATTTCCATTAAAAGCCAAAACCATCAACCTCTTTTCACCGACGGTAGAATTGAATTTGGCTACTTTCTCAAACTTATTGCAATGCCTTTTCCTTTTGTTTTATTTCGATAAAAAACTTACCAACTTAAAAATAAAAAAATTAAAATGATACAATCTTAAAACCAATCAACATTCCAAAGCAAAAATACATGCAATAAAAATAGAAAAAAAATTATCTTTTACTGGGAAGTTACATAAATATTAATTTAGTTTATATAAATACCAATTTACATGTCATAAGGCAAAAATAAAAATAGAACTAACATGAAAATCAGAAATAAAAATTTATATTTAGTGTCTATGAAACCTATGATATAAAGATAAAGCTTTCTATCCCAGAATTGCCTGCTGCTCTCTCTTTAGAATTAATTTTCTCTACTTTCTC